CTCTAAGGAAACGAGGTGGTCGAGGAGGTGCGGGCACGCCTTAGGGTGTCGGGCGCGCATATCTGCCGCGAGCTTCTCATAATAGTAGTCCGTTGGAGGCTCTTCGATCATCTTGTCGATATCCCAGCTCTCCACGATATGATAGCTCGGGCAGCGCGCCGTGTCGACCGCGTCTGCTGGGCGCACAGCATCACTTGCGCCTCTTCCAGCCGTGGCTGATCCCTCACGCCAACCAGCCCAGCGTGGCCCCTTGCGCGTCCTAAAGACCGCGAGGCGTTCGGTGACGGGAACTTCATCGCTACACGCAACGCTTTCCGCCACACGCAAATCCCTCGTGTCCCAAAGACGCCACGCCTCACCTACGCGCTGAAGCAAGCACGTTTCGTAAGGCGCCTTCTCGACCGCCAGGGTCCCGAGGTCCTTCTGCGCAGGGCGCCTACCCCACACAGACGCGTAACCACCCGGCGCCTCCCACCAGCTGTCGACGCTCGGAAGGTGGTCCAAGCAAGTAAGCACTCCAGGCTCCTCAACAGGGCGCCCAACCGGGCCGCTCCCGCCCCACACCGAAGCGAGAACAGTCACCGCGGCAAGGACCGATAGCACACCGATCCTGGCGCCGGTACGCAACCGCCCAAAGGACCGCGCACACGAGGAACAACCTTGGAAGCTTCTTGCCGCGGCCCTGGACGCGGACCCGCAAGCAAAGCACGGGTCGTGGTCAACCGAGGCAACGGCGACCCCACAATCCGCACATGCCTGCGGAGACGGCTCCGACTCGAACACCGTCTCAACCGCGCCACAACCACAGGCCGCAGTGCTAACGAGGCCGGAACGCACTTCCGCAACTACCTCGCCCGGCTGGAGAGAGTGGTCACACTCTTGGGCTGCAAGCAGCACAAACCCTTTACCCTCTCCTGTGGGCCAAAGGCCTGGCACGGCCTCGACCCCGCACTCAACCGGAAGCACTACCTCGGACAGGGATCCCTCTGCGGAGACTCCTGGCTCCCGCACGACTGGCACCAGCACCCCGTCGCCTGGCGAGAGCTCGAGCGGCTCTTCCCCGTTGTAGCGGAGGAGCTCCCGGCTTCCGCCCCCAGGCTCGGTGCATGACGCGTCGTCCAGGCTCGACAACCGCGCTTCGAAGGCGTAGGCCCTGTCCTTCCGGGTGTGATCCTCACATCTGGGCATCCTGATTCCCAGCGTGTCGAGGACGTGAAAGTCGGGACCCGGCCTGAAGCCCAGGCCCATCCTTCCGGCGCAGTCCAACGCTCTGCCGCCGAGGATCAGTCCGTGCCAATCGGACGTCCCCCTGGCTGCGATTTTGCATCGCACGAAAATTTCAGTGTTGGGGCGACAGTCGTCCGCCGTCCTGCCTTCCAGCAGCGTGACGCGCAAGACTGCTGCCCCCTTCAGAGGAACGGGGGCTCCCGAAGCAATGCCATGCACGTATTCGGGGTGGACCCACTTCTCGAGTCTCACGACCGGGAAGCCGGGATCTTCGGTACTGATCCCCAGCTCTGCAGCCCGGTTCATCATGCCCACCACGAGTTCCTCTGTCACGTGGTTTGCGCCTGCGCATCCGTCGAGCATGCACTCGACCTTACGGTCGAGCACCTGGACTACCGTCCTGTACTGGTAGCCTCCTGGCTCGTTGTCCGCCAGGTTCCACCAGTCCTTCGGCAGATCGTCCAGGGTGGCGAACTTGTCCCGCCCGCCCTTGCTCAACGGAAGCGCGTGCTGCTGCACCGCGGCGCGTCCTGCGGCTCCTGAGACGCCTGCCTGGACGCCTGAGCTGCCTATCTGGACACTGAACGCGGCGAAGGGGTTAGACATGGAAGCACCGGAGGGCGGGGCCCAGTTGGCAGGCAAGGCCGGCGTCCCTCCTGAGGTCGTCAGGTTGTGGACCATGTCGCAGCTGGCTCCTTTCTTGCACGACCCATTCTTGGAGAAAAAGGGGCAAACAGTGCCTGGTGGCTTTGCCGCGCCTTTGGCCGCAGCCTTAGGCTTAGCGCTGGCCTTTGCCTTGCCACCTCCCTTCCCCTTGCCCTTACCTTTCGCAGTGGCAAAGGTTTGGTCACCCTTCTTGGCCGCGAGAGCTTTTCTGCGGAGCTCCTTGTCGTGGCTGTACGGGCAAGCATCCCCTTTCGGGCAATTCCCGTGGTCGCGAAAGTGGAAGCAGATCTTCTTGTCCGCTCCTTTGCCAGTTCCCTTCGACGCTGCGGCAAACGTCTGGTCCGCGCCAGCTTTGGCCGCGGCAGCTGCTCCCTTCGCAGCAGCCTTGGCGGCGGCCTTGAGGCTCTTAATCTCCTTCTGAGCCTCGGCTAGCGCGACCGACGGGTCCGCGCTCGGAGAGCCGGTCGCTGAGTACACAGAGTGGGAAACAGCCCGGTGCGCTGCTTCCCTCTGTTCGTACTCCAAGACGACCTTGTGGCTCTCCTCCCAAGTCTGCGGCCCTCGCAGCCCGCCATCCTTGGGATCGCCGGGCCACAACCGCTTGTCACTCCGTATCTCCTTTTGGAGATACGGAGGCATCTTGCGGAGGTACGAGAGATACAACTCTCGTGGGGTCTTCCCGAGACCCACCGCCTCAAGGTCCGCGATCGATGCCTCAAACAAAGGCTCGAATTGGTGGCCTGTGAGCTTGCCCTTAGCGAGGGAGGCATGCTCACCATCCACGCGGACTTCTCTTTCCTCCCGCGATTCCCCGAACATCAAGTGCTTGTTCTTGATGCGGTCGTACACCGCCTGTGGGTCGGAGAGAACCTCTCCCGACTTCCACGCTGCGCGGTAGGCGTTCGTGTACGTCTTCATGCGCGAGCCGCGGCAGCGCCCGCGTAGCGCTAGCAGCTTTTCGCGCGCACTCATACCGCGGCAGTTGTTGGCCAGCGCGCAGACGTCCTCGAACTCCTCGTAGAACAGGACAACGTCTCGCGCGTCCGACTTGTCGTCGGTCAGCGTCGGCCACGTGAGGTCAGTTTTGACCGTCGTTATGGAGCTTTGCCCGCCCCTCTGCGCCAACGCTTCTTTCAGCGCTTCAGTTTGGGCGGCGAGTGCGGCGGCGAAATCGCCCGCCGGGTTTTGGGACCCGGTCTGCGAACCTCCGCCGTCTGAACCTCGCTTCAGGGCTTCTATCTCCATCTCCAGCGCCGCAAGCTTCGCGCGCAAAGGGGAATCGCCGTCCGTCGCGCCCAGGTCACGGGCCGCGGAAGGACCACCTGCAACCTCAGCAGTGTGCAAACCTCCACGGTCCAAACCTACCCCCAACCCACTTGCAGTCGCAGGCTGTGGGAGCCCTGGGGAACGCGGCCCCACGGCTTCAACTGGCACATCGGACGGGGAGCTCCAAACCTTCTCTTGGCTCGAGCTTTCTTTTCCCCCTAGCGCGAGGATAAGCTCCCCGATGCATTGGATTTCACGCTGAATCTCCTCTGCGTCTTCGGGGTCCTCGCCACCGCGCAAAGCCGCGACCGAGAACCTGGTCCGCAGCCGACGGACCATCTTTGTCGGATGCCAGTCCCCGCCTATCTTCGAGAACTCATCCGCAAGGAGGGTAGCTTTGGTGCTCAAGGCGTCAAGGTCACGGGAGCTCACCGTGACTCCATGCGCTTTGAGCGCGAGGACAATCCGCGAAACGCGCGTCAAGTAGTCCGCGACCGGTTCTTGGTCTGGACGGAAAATCGCGCGCAGCTCCGCCTGCAAGCCCTCTGCGGTGCCTGGCACTGAACCTGCTGTCGACGGCGGACCGGACGGTCCCGCCGGGCGGGACCCTGGTGCCGTAGCAGGGACATAGGCAGCACCGGTAGGGACCATGGCCAGCTCCCTAGCCGCGGCGCTGACGTCCACCCGCGGCGGACTGTCGCCTCCAGCGCCCGAGGCCTCAGGGACTAGCTCGGAGTCCTCTTCTTCTTCCCCCTCATCTTCGTCCTCCTCTTCAGCGTCATGGAGGAACTTCATGACTTTTCGCCAGAGAGCCGCCTCTTGCTCTGGCGTTGTGCTGACCCCATCCCGCTTGGTCAACGGACGGCTGCCGGTCTCCCTACGCCACTTAAGCCAAGCGACGTAGCTCATCCGCTCGGGATAGGGAACGTCTCCACCCTCGATCGCTTCGAGGAGGGTGACGCCCTCGGCCTGACCTGCAACCTCTGCGGACATCGCCGCGCCTTGGTTAGCAGGCCGCAGGCGTGGCACACGAAGCGCCGCGCCTCGGTTAACAGGCCGCAAGCGTGGCACACAGTCCACGCGTCCAGGTCACGGACCGCGACAGACAAGCAAAGCAATGCTTGCCCACTCGGGCCGTAGGCACAAGAGCTGTACGTTTCCCAGAACAGCCCCCAATTGTGAAGTCGACCAGCACTGGACTTGCACTAAGCCAATGCAATCACAGCCCGGTCACGCTGTTTTACGACTTCGCGAGTTCAAGCACTTGTGCAGCTACGCCTGAGTGCGTCCGGTCGGACCGCACAGCAACCTAAGAGCTACTGTACGAAACTACCGTGCTCAAAGGCACAAGCTCGGTACTTGAGCCAAAATGTTGGCATTGTTACGAATTGCAAAACTACACATGCAAGGGAAAACAACAAGCTGCACTAGCACTAAGCAAGCACTCCATGCATGCTTTGACCTGCTCACCAGGGACCCTTACAAGGGACCTTATAGGGGGTTCTTTAGGGGTTATTCAGGGGCTACTTAGGTATATGGGGACTATATAAGGGATATATATATATATATGTGTGTATATGTATATATATATATATATGTATAGGGGAATAAGGTTCAGGGTCCCTTCTTCTACCCCTTCTTCAAGCTCTTGAGGGCGAGAAGCGAGCGCCTTACGGAGTGGTCCAGCGAGCATGCTGTGGCGCAAGGCCTATGACGCAAGCCCTCTGTGGGGGTTTAGGAGAATTAGGGTTTAGGGTTTAGGGTTTAGGGTTTAGGGTTTAGGGTTTAGGGATCAAAATGAGGGTCCCCTAAACCCTGAACCCGAACCCCTGAACATCTAGGAATGGCCTGCCTGGTCCTGGCCCTTCTCTGGTCCGTGATGGCCAAGCTCAGGACACCGGAAGTGTCCAGCGGGGAGGTAGGGCTTAGGACCTAAACCCTAAACCCTAAACCCTAAACCCTAAACCCTAAACCCTAAACCCTAAACCCTAAACCCTAAACCCTAGACCCTAGACCCTAGACCCTAGACCCTAAACCCTAAACCCTCCCTAAACCCTAAACCCTAAACCCTAAACCCTAAACCCTAAACCCTAAACCCTAAACCCAAAACCCTAAACCATAACCCTAAACCCTGAACCCTAAACCTTAAACCCTAAACCCTAAACCCTAAGCCCTGAGCCCTAAACCCTGAACCTGCAAAAGGATGGGGAAAAAAGGCAACTATCTCAACACCGCCCTGAATTCTCGACTCCCAGGCTGAACTCGATGTAGCCCGTCAAGACTGAGCTTATAGGGTTTCTTGAGGATTCCAGAAAAGGTTTGGGGTTTAGGGTTTCAGGGGTTTAGGGTTTAGGGTTTCAGGGGTTTAGGGTTTAGGGTTTAGGAGTTTAGGGCTGAGGGTTTAGGGTTAGAAAACAAGCTTCCCAAGAGAACGGTAGCCCGGGGTGGGGAGTATGCACTGCACTACTCAGGGGAGGTGAGTTGCTAATGGCATGGAGCTTTTGAGGCGAAGTGTAGGGTTGATGGTTTAGGTTTAGGGTGTAGGGTTTAGGGTTGAGGCACAAACCCTAGACCCCTATACTCTGCGTCCCATATATTCTATATTCCGTATGCAATGTTCGGGCACCCCTTTGGATTAAAGGACTTCAGAGATGTTGAAGGAGTTCCACACCCTCACGCGGGCAGAGTTCCCAAATAAGCCCCAATCCTGCCAACCCCAAGCCATAAACCCTAAACCCCAAACCCTGAACTCTAAGCCCTGAGCCCCAAGCCCTAAACCCTAAACTCAAAGCCACAAGACCCAGGCCCTAGACCCCCTAAACCCTAAACCCTAAACCCTAAACCCTAAACCCTAAACCCTAAACCCTAAACCCTGAACCCTAAACCCGAAACCCTAAATCTAACGGGCTGTCGCCCACAGCCGGGCACGCCCACCAGCAGCAGGACAACGGCAGCAAGCACAGCAGCAACAACAGCAAACACCGTGGAGGTGTTCATGTTCAGAAACACCGTGGAGGTGCATGGCCACACTGTGGAAGTGTGCATGTACAGTTTTCAGGTTCGCAAACACCGTGGAGGTGTTCATGTTCAGCATTTGCAGTCTTCACGTTCGCAAACACCGTGGAGGTGTTCGTGCTCACAAGCACCGTGGAGGCATCCACGGCCACACTGTAGAAGAAACCCGGAACCTTACACCCTAAACTCTCAACAACAACCACAACAACAACAACAACAACAACAACAACAACAACAACAACAACAACAACAACAACAACAACAACAACAACAACAACAACAACAACAACAACAACAACACCAACAACAACACCACAACAACAACAACAACAACAACAACAACAACAACAACAACAACAACAACAACAACAACAACAACAACAACAAAACCAAACAACCAAACAACCAAACAACCAAACAACCAAAAAACCAAACAACCAAACAACCAAACAACCAAACAACCAAACAACCAAACAACCAAACAACCAAGCAACCAAGCAACCAAGCAACCAAGCAACCAAGCAACCAAGCAACCAAGCAACCAAGCAACCAAGCAACCAAGCAACCAAGCAACCAAGCAACCAAGCAACCAAGCAACCAAACAACCAAACAACCAAACAACCAAACAAACAAACAAACAAACAAACAAACAAACAAACAAGCTAACAAACAAACAAACAACGGCGCGCGCGCGCGCGCGCGCGCGCGCGGGAACTGGTGCGTTTTCCGCGCGCGCGCATGTGCGTGCGCATGTCGAGTGCCATGTTATGGAGTTATGCCAGCATCCTTCGAAATCCTGCCGCCCAAAACCTTTTCCGGAGCCGCTGATGCTGCTGATGCTCGCTTGCAAAGAGAAACGAAGCCTCGATGATGCGCACCCTGGCCCCCCGCCCGGCCGCGCATCATGAGCATCAGCGGCTCCGGCCTCCAGGCATGCATGGCTTATAGGGGCATATGCCGGCCTCAAAACGGAAATGTCCGCAACAGCACGAAAACCACGGTATTTACAGCGAATTCTGTGTTTTCCAAGCTCTCAGCCGCATCCGAAACCCAAAACCCAACCCGCTGATGCTCATGATGCGCGCTCTTGTGGGGGTCCTTTCAGTGGCCAATGCCACCCAAAAACATCAGCAACGCGTATTTGGCCAAAGTTGAAAAGAGAGTCGATGATGCTCTCCGGGGTCGTTTTTGGGACCCCCCAAAATGCGTCCAGGAGCCCAAATTCGGTGGGAAATAGCGCGTTTTTCGCGATAAAAATTGTACCTGAAAATTGATGCCCTTCGGGAGCCGCATTTGGAGCCGGATGTTGGGGAGCCAACCGGGTCAGCGGCTTAACCCCCCCCCCTCATAGCTAAAGCTAGGGCTGGCGCCTAACGGCGTCGGACCACGGGCGTGCCCGGATTTAGGAGCCTCCGGCCCAGGCCGCCGACCCAAGAGGCCCGAAACCTCTCAACCCTCAAACCCCTAACCCTAAACCCCACACCTATACCCAGAACCCTAATCCCTCAAGAACCCTCACTCCAGGTTTTGAGCCTCTGTGATTCTAATGCTCTTGTCTTTAGGGTAGTTTAGGGCTTTGGGTTCGACCTTTGGGGCAGGTTTGGTTGGGCTGTAGGGTATTGGTGTGGGGGTGTGGGCGGGGCTGCGGGGTGTTGGCCGCGTTTACGTCGTGCGGTGGCGTGAAAAAATTGTGCAGTGGGGGGGGGTGTCTGGGGTACGGGGGGGTGGGGTTGGGGTGGGGGGTAGGGTTCCAAAAGAGCCCCTAGCCCCCGTGCTGAACCGCCTATGGGTCGGCGGACCCTAAACCCTAAACCCTAAACCCTAAACCCTAAACCCTAAACCCTAAACCCTAAACCCTAAACCCTAAACCCTAAACCCTAAACCCTAAACCCTAAACCCTAAACCCTAAACCCTAAACCCTAAACCCTAAACCCTAAACCCTAAACCCTAAACCCCAAACCCCAAACCCTAAACCCTAAACCCTCAAACGATCGAGAGGACCGACTGGATGATGGAGAATGTCACCTTGGCGAGCGGCCTCAGCTTCGCCATCAAGGGGACGTAGGGTTTCGGGTTTAGGGTTTGGGGTTTAGGGTTTAGGGTTTGGGGTTTAGGGTTTAGGGCTTGGGGTTTGGGGTTTAGGGTTTGGGGTTTGGGGTTTCGGGTTTCGGGTTCACACTAGGCGCCGAACCCCAAACCCCAAACGCCTACGACCCTACAACCCAAAAACCCGAACCCTCAAGTATGTGTGGGGATAAGACCTCTAGAAACCCTAAACCCTAAACCCTAAACCCTAAACCCTAAACCCTGAACCCAGTCGATTCTCAGTGCGCATGGGTAGCCGAAGAGTGAACGTAGCCCCAGCAAGATCCCCTTCGGTAGGGATTCGGGGTCGAGGGGCTTCGGGGTTTAGGAGTTTAAGGGTTTAGGGTTTAGGGTTAGAGTTTAGGGTTTGGGAGTTTAAGGGTTTAGGGGGTTCAGGGTTTAGGGTTTCGGGTTTAGGGTTGCGGCTTAGGAAGTGAGCGTTTAGGGGTTTTAGGGTTTCGGTCTTCCTTTGCCTGGGGTTGTGAAGTCTCGGCCTTTGGGGTTCTGTTCCCCGTGCTTTTCGGGCAAAGCCAGGGGTGAGTTGAAAGCGGATCGTGGCTTGAGGGTTTAGGGCAGGATGATAGCCCTTAACACCCTTAGCACTTGAACCCTAAACCCCTAAACCCTTCAGCCTACAAAAGCGCGATGTTGAATGCGAGGTTCAGTGGGGCGTGGTCGGGACAAGCAGCGTCGTGTGCACCCTCATGTCACTTCGGCAGCACTCCCTTAAGGCTTAGGGCTTCGGTCCCTAAGCTCTACGCCCTAAAGCCCTAAAGCCCTAAACCCTAAACCCTAAGCCCTACTAAAGCCCTAAAGCCCACTGACCCCCCCCCCCCTCAAGGGCGAAGTCCCTAAACCCCCCCTAAACCCCCCTAAACCCCCCTAAACCCCCCTAAACCCCCCTAAACCCCCCTAAACCCCCCTAAACCCCCCTAAACCCTAACTTGGGATGTTCCCCCTTATACTAGCAATCCTTAAGGGGGATTGTAAGAGGGGTTACTAGAATCCCTAGTAAGGGCTGTTCGTACAAGGGGGAACATCCCAACTGCCAAACATCTATCTCCTCGACAGGGAGGATATCACATACTCTCCTGACGCAACCCTAAACCCTAAACCCAAAATCCTCAAGTGGCAGGCTAGTTTTCACCCCCCCCCTTGGCCCACCAACACACCTTAAACACCCTAAACACCCCTAAACACCCTGATGCTCCTGGCAAACCTCAGCTGCCGCACCCTAAACCCTAAACCCTAAACCCTAACTCCTAAACCCTAAACCCTAAACCCTAAACCCTAAACCCTAAACCCTAAACCTGAACCCTGAACCCTAAACCCTAACCCTAAACTCTGAACCCAAAGCTAGGTTTGTTTCCTACGACGCCCTTGTCTTCCCGCAGATCACGAAAAGGTCGGGGGGCCTACAGCGACAGGTCCTTGGAGTCGGTTTTCCCACGTACTCTAAACCCTAACCCCAAAGCCGAAACCCTAAAAACCCTAAACCTTAAACCCCCAAAACCTAAACCCTAAACCCCAAACCCGGCACCCTAAATCCTAAACCCTAAGCCCAAACCCTAAACCCTAGGGCTTTAGGGTTGGGAGGGCGTGAGTGCGGCCGGTACTATTGGACTGTCCCAATCAGGTAGGTGTAGGGGTTTGGTTGGGGTTTAAGGTTGAGGGTTAGGATTCAGGGTTTAGGGTTTGGGGCTTACTCAGCTGTAAACCCTAAGCCCTACACCCCGAACCCCAAACCCTAAGCCCAAATAGCCCCAATACCTCCCAAAGATCTTCAGTCCACCCCAAGCCCTTGAACCCTAAACCCTAAACCCTAAACCCTAAACCCTAAACCCTAGTCCCTAAACCCTAAACCCTAAACCCTAGACCCTAAACCCTAAACCCCCAAAAGTCCCCCAGGTTCCCAAAACTTAAACCCTGAACCCCCAGTTCTGAACCCCCTAAACCCCAAACCCTTAATTATCAACGGTTTAGGGTTTAGGGTTTAGGGTAGGGGGGTTTATGGGGGTTCAGAAGGGGAGTAAAGGGGGATTATCGGGGGGTTGATAGGGGGTTTATAGGGAGTTTACGGAAGGGCTCCGACCAGGAGTGGAGAGCCTGTGCGCTTCATTTGTCCTAGCGTTTGGGGCTTGTGAGTTGAAGGGTTTAGGGCTTTAGGGCTTTATAGGGTTTAGGGTTTGATAGGGTTTAGGGTTCTATAGGGTTTAGGGTTTTATAGGGTTTAGGGTTAGGGTTTGAGGTTAAGGGTTTTAGGGTTTGAGGGTTTAGGACTCAGGCCTACAACTCTTGGTGGTAGTCGCAGATATTCAGTGGGGCGAACACCTCATCGAAGCACCTAGCTACTATCTGCTTAAGAACCCCAAAAACATAAGAATATTCTTGCCGATTATGGGCAATATGGGGATTGTTTTGTTTTTTTTATACTTTTGGGGTTCTTAAGCAAATAGTAGCTAGTAGCTGGTTCCCTGCGAAGTTTCCCTCAGGGTGGCTAGCCCTGAACAAACTGAAACTGAACCCTAAACCCTATACCCTAAACCCTAAACCCTAAACCCTAAACCCTAAACCCTACCGCTGCCAAGTTACGAAGAAATGCATTTCCTGGAGTACCTGAACCAGCAGCTGCCGCGATGCAGAGGAGCTGAGGGAGGGTTTAGGGTTTAGGGTTTAGGGTTTAGGGTTTAGGGTTTAGGGTTTAGGGTTTAGGGTTTGGGGTTTAGGGTTTAGGGTTTAGGGTTTAGGGTTTAGGGTTTAGGGTTTAGGGTTTTAGGGTTTAGGGTTTAGGGTTTTAGGGTTTTAGGGTTTTAGGGTTTTAGGGGTTTAGGGGTTTAGGGTTTAGGGTTGGGTTTAAGGGCTCAGGGCTGTACCCTGAGACTCCAATACCCCTGAAGCACAGAAAAAGGGGGGAGAGGTTCCCAAAAAGAGTGGTATCCCTAAGCCCTAAACCCTAAACCCTCAAACCTCAACCTTAAACCCTTAAACCCTAAGCCCTGATTAAGCAGCCCTAAAACCCTAAGCCCTGATTAAGCCCCGCCATTTTTTAAATCCCCCAGGCCTTCAGGGTTCTGGGGGTTCGGGCTTCGGGCTTCGGGTTTCGGGTTTCGGGTTTAGGGTTACTTCGGGAATCCTTCGAATTGAGCCCAAGGCCTTGAACCATAGCCCTAAGCCCGAAACCCTAACGTAGGGGTAGTTGCATGGCCCCTTACCATGTGGTCCCTTACCCTCTTTGAAGGGTTCTTAAGGGAGGTCCAGGCTTGGGGGTTTAGGGTAGCCTAAAACCCCTGAAGCCCTCACACCCTAAATCCCCCAAACCCTACAGCCCTAGAACCCTGAACCCTAAGCCCTAAACCCCCTAATCCAAGGCTAAGCCTGGTCTTTGTCCTCGCCTTCTTCATTGCCGCCTGGATGATGGTTCTAGGGTCGTTTCAGGGTTCGGGGTTGGGTTTCAGGGTTTAGAGTTTCGGGTTTCGAGTTTAGGGGTTAGGTTTACACGGTTTGCAGGGGTTACAGGGTTACCGGGTTTGGGGTCTTTGCGTTTAGGGTCTTAGGGTTTAGGGTTCAGGTTTAGGGTTCAAGATTTAGGGCGTATTGCTTCTGCAAACATAGACTAGTAGGTGTTCCTATTGCCACGGACGGGTGGTCGCAAGAACACGGCCGGAACTATACCCTGACACCTCCCTCTAAGCCCCTGAAACCCTCTAAGTTGAAATACGCCCTAGCGGCCCCAGCAACATTTCCTGTAAACTGATAAACCAGAAGCACGATTCCGGCCTCAACCCCAAGCCCTAAAGCCCGCACCCTAAACCCCTAGTCCCAAACCATTACGTTTCGGGTTCTAAGCTCGAATGCCGCACCGAAGCCCTACTTGAATGCCCCGAGCCCTGTTCCTCTTCGGCTAGCCTAGCCCAAATTTGCTGCAAAATCAGGGCTTTGAGGTTTCGGGTTCTTGGCAGCCCAGTGGTACCCTTTTGCCTCTTTTTGCTCCCAGGTCCCCTTGTAAATTGTTATGAAGTAACCAACCCCAACAAGGGTACCCGTGTTAGAATATGGTTACTGGGCCACTAAGGGTTGAGGGTGTAGGGACAAGAGGAACTTTCGGGTTGGGTTTGGCAGCAGAAATAGGCCGGCTCCTACAGAGAGAGCGCAGAAGAGGAGAGCCGCCGAGCAAGGCGAAGGGCGCCCCCGCACCGGCGTCTGTGTGCGGAACATCTCGAAGCCACATTCAGAGTTGTTTGCTGCCAACTCGGCCGCCCACACCCGAGGCGAAGGAAGCCCCCTCACCATGTTTGCTGCAAGTTTGGGGCAGAGCAGCGTTGTGGATTCGATCCAACCAGGGTTTAGGGTTAAGGGACCCTAAATTTAAATCCCAGCCCTAAGCTACTGACTAAAGCCTCTGAGGCCCAAATCCCATCTCTGGGTCACTCATCTAAAGTCTTGTTCCCGTAGCTTAACAATGACCCTAAACCCTAAACCCTCAACCCTAAACCCCAAAACCCAAACCCTAAACCCTAAAACCTAAAACCTCAAAGCCCCCAAGCTGGGAAAACCTTAAAACTCAACCCTCAACCCACAGCGCCGAAACCCTAATCTTGGGGCCTTGATGATTAGAATAGGGTTTTGGGGTTATAGCATAATTATATAAGGACCATAAGCGAGGCAGTATTTATTCCTACCCGTACATTAAACTGCATGCCCTGAACCGCAAGCTAAACCCTAAACCCTAGCCTAAAGCCTAAACCCTAAACCCCAAACCCTAAACTCTAAACCTTAACACCTAAACTCTCAAAGCCCTTAAGCTCGGAAAACCTTAAACCCTGAACCCCAAACCCTCAACCCTAAGCGCAAAAACCTGAATATTCGCCTTAATAGTTAGAATAGGGCTTTGGGGGTTGCAGCATAGTTGCATCGGGACCATAAGGGAATTGGTAACTAGTCCGACCCCTATATTAAACTGTATGCCCTGGACCCCAAGCCCTGAAGCTAAACCCTAAACCCTAAACCCTAAACCCTAAACCCTAAACCCTAAACCCTAAACCCTAAACCCTAAACCCTAAACCCTAAACCCTAAACCCTAAACCCTAAACCCTAAACCCTAAACCCTAAACCCTAAACCCTAAACCCTAAACCCTAAACCCTAAACCCTAAACCCTAAACCCTAAACCCTAAACCCTAAGCACCGGCTTTCTGGTCCAGGTCACCAACACCCATCCGACGTTGTTTGTGCAGTCGCTCGTGTGGCTTGCCTTGGGTGGCCCTTTGAAGGTTCAGGGTTTGGGGTTTGGGTTTAGTTTAGGGTTTAGGGTTTAGGGTTTAGCCTTCAGCGTTCAGGGTTCAGCTTTAGGGTCAACAGGTTCAGGTTGAGGGTTCATAGTTCAGGGTCTAGGGTTCCGGTTTTCGGGTTCAGGCTTTAGAAGCGTAAGGGGACTAGGTTCTATAGCCCGTATACTTCATTCGGTGCTGCAGTAGCAAAGAGGTCCGTGATCCCAATTTTGCTCTGTTCCCTAAAACCTAAACCCCAAATCCTCAACCAAAACCCTTGCCCGAAACCCTAAACCCTAAACCCAAAACCCTAAAACCTAGACCCTAAACTCTAAACCCTAAACCCTAAACCCTAAACCCAAAACCCTAAACCCCAAACCCCAAACCCCAAACCCCAAACCCCAAACCCCAAACCCCAAACCCTAAACCCTAAACCCTACACCCCAAACTCCAAGTCCTAAATCCTCAGCCCGAAGTCCCTGAATCCTCAGCAGCCCTAAGCGGTACGGGCCTGGCTCCTTCAAACCATCGGAAGGGTTGAGAGGAGCTTGGGGTTTAGGGTTTCGGGTTTAGGGTTCAGGGTTTCGGGTTTAGGGTTTAGGGCCCCTGAACCCTAAGTTTAGGGTTTAATTAGGGTTCAGGGTTCAGGGCTTTGGGGGTGCTTATATATTCAAGTAACTATCTAGATCATGGAATAAATCGTGCTTTGAGTGCAGATCCTAGGATTTAGGCCTTGGGTGCATGGGGTTTAGGGTCCAAAGCCCAGAAACGCTAAAGCCAGCCCGAACGCCGAACTTCACCCCAAAGCCCTGAAAGGCCTTAGGGTTAGGGTTTCGGGTTTAGGGTTTGGGGTTTGGGGTTCAGGGTTTAGGGTTTTAGGAACCCTTGTTCCCTTTTTTTGGTGTTTGGGTCCCTTATATTCCCCTTCAACACACACCATGCCCAGGTTACTCTTGGGTTTGGCCCGCCTTACCTGAGCATATTCTTCCAAGGGCAATCTGGGGCTTGACATCCTGCCATTTCGGGGGGGTTTCTCAAGCAAGTAGTAGATGACGCGAAGATCCTCCAGCGATTGTCGTAGCCTTCCACTTTTTTTTTGTGTTGGGGCCCTTTTTTTCAGCCACGACAACGCGGTACCCTTACCTATCAGAGTGCCCCTGCTAGGGCTTGGGGATGAGGACTTAGGGTTTAGAGTTTTCGGGGCTGGGGCTGCTGGTATATCAGGGGGTTCCCATACTCACCCCCTCTCCTCTTTACTGCCCCCCCCCCCTCAGGTTCCCCCCCCAGAATTTCGGGTAATGAGGGATAGTAAGCCTAATTCAGGCCTTTAAAGGGGGGGATGTAGGGGGGGGGGGGTAGTATAGTAGGGGGCTAGTAGGGGAACTTGCGAGTTCAGGGTCGCCCCCGGCCACCCCCCCCCCCACCCATCCCTGGGTCAGAGGTGCTTAGAAGAACCCAATGAAGTTCTCACCCTGAACTCTAAACCCTAGACCCTGAAAATTAAACCCTAAACCCTAAAAGCCCCTTAAGTGCCCTAATGTGGTTTGAAACTACAGCGAACAGTGATTGGGTTAATACGTACCCGTGGACCTCCCAGTACTGCACCCTCACGTAGACTCTCCAAACCCCAAACCCAGCCCCAAATCCCCAACCCTAAACCCTAAACCCTAAACCCTAAACCCTAAACCCTAAACACTAAACCCTAAATCCGGGAAACTGCAAGGCAGGGCTACCACACAGAAATGGGTGACAGTGGGGGTTTGAGGGCTTGGAGTTTCGGGATGCAGGTGGTGCCATGATGGTCATAGCTCGGCTCTACGGGTGCGCGTGCTGTGTGGGTGTAAGGTTTAGGGTTTAGGATTTAGGGTTTAGGGTTCCCTAAGCCCTAAGCCCTAAGCCCTAAGCCCTAAGCCCTAAGCCCTAAGCCCTAAGCCCTAAGCCCTAAGCCCTAAGCCCTAAGCCCTAAGCCCTAAACCCTAAACCCTAAACCCTAAAGCCTAAACCTCGTTCTCACCCCTAAGCCCTCCCCTCGAACCCACAGCACCGAAGGTTCTTGCCCGCGGGCGTCGTTTTCATGGCCATCCGTGACAAGACCAGCCTCTACATCTCCAACATCGGCCCCGTGGGTGGCAAAGCCTAAACCCTAAACCCTAAACCCTAAACCCTAAACCCTAAACCCTAAACCCTAAACCCTAAACCCTAAACCCTAAACCCTAAACCCTTACTAAACCCTAAACCCTAAACCCTAAACCCTAAACCCTAAACCCTAAACCCTAAACCCTTACTAAACCCTAAACCCTAAACCCTAAACCCTAAACCCTAAACCCTGAACCCCTTGCGGGTGGTTCAGTAAGTGGAGGGCTTAGGCTTTTTGTTGGGTGTTGGGTTCAGGGTTTAGTAAGTTTAGGGTTTAGTTTTTTTGGTTGTGGTTTGTGGGTTTAGGGCTCATGTTTTTTTTTTTTGTTGGGGGGGGGGGGGGGGTTCGCGGGTTTGCGCTTGAGTAAGTTTAGGGTTCCGCTCAGGGCCCTCAACCCTCCCACACGGCCTGCGCAACCTCTCAAAGTGTTTGGGGCTTTGGGGTTGGGGGTAACCCTAGACCCTAAACCCTAGACGGTTCGGCTCTACTGGGCCCTTCCGCATTGGCAGGTCTCTAAAGCAATGCTTTAGGGTTTAGGATTTAGGATTTAGCCCAATCCTAAACCCTAAGCCCTAAACCCTAAACCCTAAGCCCTAAATCCTAAACCAAACCTAGAGGAGTTGTCATACTACCTCTTGGGCCCAAGTTTCTGAAAAATTAGAACCTCTAGGCACTTGTAGGCCAGAACGGCTTCAACCCCTAGCCCCGAACCCTTTACGAAAACCCTAAACCCTAAACCCTAAACCCTAAACCCTAAACCCTAAACCCTAAACCCTAAACCCTAAACCTTAAACCCTAAACCCTAAACCCTAAACCCTAAACCCTAAACCCTAAACCCTAAACCCTAAACCCTAAACCCTAAAACTCCACCACCAAGGCAGGGTGGTCTTCCTCTGCACGGTGGCGATAAGCTGCATGCTTGCTCACGAGCCCTTGGCCTGAACCGGGGGGGGGGGGGGGGGGGGGCGGTTAGTTGTTAGGGTGTAGGGTTCCAGGTTTGGGTTTAGGGTTTAGGGTTTAGGGTTTGGGGTTTAGGGTTTAGGGTTTAGGGTTTAAGGTTTAGGGTTTAGGCTTTAGGGCGGCGCCCCAAACCCTAAAGCCCAAGCCCGAAACCCGAAGCCCTAAAACCCTAAGCCCGAAGCCCTACAATCCTAAACCCTAAACCCTAAGCCCTAAACCCTAAACCCTAAAACACTAAACCCTACACCCCCAACCCCTAAACCCTAAATCCTAAACCCTAAGCCCTGAACCCCAACACAAGTTGTCCACTTTACACGCAGCCTTTTGAGGCGAGCACCCAGACCGTATGCTTGTCCGCTTTCTTTAGGGCTTGAGTTCCTTTTTTCGCTCATTTTATTCCTAAGTTGCTCTGAGGCCTGAACCCTAAACCCTAAACCCTAAACCCTAAACCCTAAACCCTAAACCCTAAACCCTAAACCCTAAACCCTAAACCCTAAACCCTCTGTCCTCCCAAGGTTGGAGCAGACGAGTCGCGCTCGCTTTAAGGCCAAGAGGCGGGTCCAGCGCACGCAGGAGCGGGGGGAAGGGTGGGAGGACAGGGTTTAGGGCTTAAGGTTTAGGGTATAGGGTTCAGGGTTTAGGGTTAGGAATTAGGTTATTGGTTTCTGGGTATATCTGGGTTTCAGTGTTTCAGGGATTAGGGTTTGGGACTACGGTTTAGGGTTGAGCACTTCGGTTCAGGCACCACTCATAGGCCCGGTTTGTTCTCCTCACCTTGGACCGGCCTTTAGCGAAATCCTTTTTACCGCCGGGCCCGCAGCCAAACTGGATATTGAAGACCGTGGGGTTTAGGGTTTAGGGTTTAGGGTTTAGGCTTTAGTGTTTGGGATTTAGGGTTTAGACCCAAACTCGAGATTGAAGACCTTGTAGTTTAGAGCCAAACTCGAGATTGAAGACCTTGGGGGTTTGGAGTTCAGGGTTAAGGGTTGAGGGTTTCAAGGATTTTTAAGGTTTCGGGTTGAGGGTTTTAAAAGGTTTAGGGTTAAGGGTTGAGGGCTTTAAGGATTTTTAAGGTTTCGGGTTGAGGGTTTTAAACGGTTCAGGGTCAAGGGTTGAGGGTTCTAAGGATTTTTCAGGAATTTCAAGGTTTAGGGTGAAGGTTCGGGAAGCGAAGTCGCCGGATGAAGCCAGGCCTTACCTAGGAAGCTAGGATGCCCAGCAGTGCCCTCATCCCCTTTTTGGGGGGTTTAGGTTCTCTTAGAAACCCCTTTAAGCAAAAAAGGGCACCCTTTCTAATCCCAGGTTACTGGGCAACCTAGGAAGGGTTCGAGAACCTCCAGATGTTGAATCCGGTAGTCCGGTCGAAAGGGCGTATTCAAAATACAGTCGGGATATACCCTAAACCCTAAACCCTAAACCCTAAACCCTAAACCCTAAACCCTAAACCCTAAACCCTAAACCCTAAACCCTAAACCCTAAACCCCAAACCCCAAACCCTACACCCCAAACCCCAAACCCCAAACCCCAAACCCCAATCCCAAACCCTAAACCCCAAACCCCAAACCCCTAGGTGATGCCTCCCGGACCCAGCTGACCCCGCAACATCATTGGGTTCAAGGGTTCGGGGCTATTCGGTCCCTGAGTTTTGGAGTACTATACTTTAACACTTTGTTTGGTTCTGGGTTCCTATTATCGCTACTTCTGCTTAAAAGTATATACTTTTTTCCAGGGTTTGCTCCGCAGTAGGGCTTGTTGGTTATAATTTTACATTTTTGTCATATTAGATTCCCAGCAAGGAATAAAAGTGATCGAATTGAATTTAGCCCAACAAGGAAGCAGGAGGTTTATAGGGTTCAGTGCTTAGGGCTATTTGGGACGTGGGGGCTTAAGGGTTCAGTCAGGGTTAGCATTTCGGGTCTAGTGCTTCGGGATACCATGGATATGAGGGTAAGGGCTTGTCTAATGAGGGTTGAAGTAGGATTTAGGGTCTAGGGTTGAGGGCATATAGGTTTTTGGGCTTAGGCTTATTGGGGGTTTACGATTTAAGGGTTCAGAGTTCGGGGTTTAAGGTGTGGGCTTAGGGTGCTTAGGGGTTTGGGGTTTAGGGTGCAGGGTCTAGGTCTTAGTGTTTAGCATCTGAGGATAGCTTCCCCACCACATTGTTCACAGTCTTGGTTCTTGTGACGTATTCTGGAGCAAGTTCAACAAACGTTTAGGGTTTAGGGTTTAGGGTTTAGGGTTTAGGGTTTAGGGTTTAGGGTTTAGGGTTTAGGGTTTAGGGTTTAGGGTTTAGGAGCCTGAGATTGTGACAATCTAAATGCTGAACACACTTTTCTGATGAGTCTGCAGCTCAAGGCTTATCCTTCTGTGGGGGCCCTCAGCCCTAAGTCTCCCAAACCCGAAACCCTAAACCCTAAACCCTAAACCCTAAACCCTAAACCCTAAACCCTAAACCCTAAACCCTAAACCCTAAACCCCAAACCCCAAACCCTAAACCCTAAACCCTAAACCCTAAACCCTAAACCCCCCAAGCCCCAAATCCCAAGCCAGGAGCGCATCGAGTATGCGCCTTGATTGCAGCTGGGTGGCTTCCCTACACCCTAAGCCCCCCAGGCCTCAACCCCAAACCTTAAAAACCTCAACCCTTCAAGCCCTGTAGACCCTATAAATCCTGTAAACCCCATAAACCCGGAAAAAAAAAACCGATGAATCCTGTAAACCCTACAAGCCCTACAAACCCTGTAAATCCTGCAAACCCTATAAACCCTAAACCCTTGAACCCTAAACCCTATAAACCCGATAAACCCTTTTAATCCTATAAACCCTATAAACCCTACAAACCCCATAGACCCTAAAAAACCGTAATAGCGCACAAAAAACCTAATTCAACCCCTATAAACCTTATAAACCCTACAAACCCTATGTACCCTGTAAATCCTGTAGACCTTATAAACCCTAAACCCTTTAAACTGAGAGCCTTCCCTGCTGGAAGCTCGCAGGAGGGCTTTAGGCTCTTGGGGTGAAAAAACACTCAGGGTTTAGGGTGTAGGGTTTAGGGTTTCGGGTTAATGGTTCAGGGTGTGGGGTTTTGGGGTTTCGGGGCGTAGGGTTCAGGGCTTCAAGGTGTTTAAGGCCAAGGAGTTTGCAGGGTCTTGGGCTGGGTTTCGGGGCTTACATCCCTAAACCCTAAACCAAGGGGGGCCCTCTTGCAGGCAGCCGAAGAGACGGCACACTGATTCAGGCTTAGGGGTTTCACCCTGAACTCTGAGCTCTAAACCCTAAACCCTAAACCCTAAACCCTAAACCCTAAACCCTAAACCCTAAACCCTAAGCCCTAGGCCCTAAACCCTAAACCCAACTAGGGTTCAGCCTCCGAGGTTTTGAACAGCTTGATGCCCAAGGCAGTCTTGGAAGAGCGGAAAAGCCGCGCCTGGGCTGAGACTTTTCGAGCTGGGCTTTTCGGGTTTTTGATGCCCTAAACCCTAAACCCTAAACCCTCAACCCTCAACCCTCAACCCTCAACCCTCAACCCTCAACCCTCAACCCTCAACCCTCAACCCTCAACCCTCAACCCTCAACCCTCAACCCTCAACCCTCAATCCTCAACCCTCAACCCTACTTTCCCGCCCCCCCCCCTCCCCAGAAAACAAACGTGACAAATGACCGGCACGAAGGCACCGAAGACTGAAACCCGTATGAACCAAAGGCCGAGACCTTGAAAACTCTACCCGTCGACCCAAGGTTCATGGGTATAGTCAGGACTAGGCCCTTATTTCCTTTCTTTAGGGTTGGGGTCCCCTTATGACCCCCTTAAAACCAAAAAAGGCACCTTCTTTTGTTCCTAGGTTACTCCTGGGTACAGGACCTGGGGTTGTATGTAAGGTGAATAGACCCTAAACCCTGAACCCTACCCTAAACCCTAAACCCTAAACCCTAAACCCCAAACCCCAAGCCCCAAACCCTAATAACCCATTGGTAGCTTCCTTGAGCCCAAAACTCTAACATCCTTAAACCCAAAATCCAGGGTTTGGAAAGGGTTTAGGGTTTAGGTTTAGGGTTAAGGGTTAAGGGTGAAGGGTTTAGGGTTTAGGGTTTAGGGCTTTTTTTCTTTCTCTCTCTCTCTCTCTCTCTCTCTCTCTCTCTCTCTCTCTCTCGGCCCTATGAACACTGATATAAGCCCCTAAACCGTACAAACCCTGTAGTCACGCAAGCGAAAAAACCTCTGAAACAATAGTCGAATAGACGCCCCAAATCCTGAACAGTAGCAAAGACCTTGGGATGTTCCCCCTTTTACTAGCAGTCCTTAATGGGGATTCTAACTGGGGGTACGCTAATCCCTACTAAGGACTGTTAGTGTAAGCGGGAACATCCCAACATAGAACCCTAAATCTTAGAAACACTCAAGAACTGATATGGGGGTTGACGAAAATTAGGGTTTAGGGTTTAGGGTTTAGTGTTCAGGGTTTGGTAGGATTAACAAGGACTGGTCACATCTCTAGAGGAGATACTCCCCTTTCGGGGTCGCTATTCTCAGGCAGCCCCTAAACCCGAAACCCTAAACCCTAGGCCCTAAGCCCTAAACCCTAAACCTTATACCCCAAACCCTAAACCCTAAACCCTAAACCCTAAACCCTAAGCCCTAAGCCCTAAGCCCTAAGCCCTAAGCCCTAAGCCCTAAGCCCTAAGCCCTAAGCCCTAAGCCCTAAGCCCTAAGCCCTAAGCCCTAAACCCTAGACCCTAAAGCCTAAACCCTAAAAACCCCACAAAAACCACCGTAACTTTGAAAACTGGCAACCAGCCGCAGAGTGCCGTGCATGGCATACATAAGGCATCCAGGTACGCGCACGTGTATGACGGCGAAACAGGAGAACTCATATGCAGTGATGCCGGCAATCCCATCGAATTCGAGTGGGGGATCCAAGATATCATGGTGCTAAATCACATCGCATCCGACTCGCAGCAATGGCAATCCCACCTGCAGACGGAGCGCAGAAGGCCGCGAGGGAGAATCGAAGGTGGTGGAGTTCACATATCGGTCAAAGATGGCGGGCCCGAGGAGGCCTCGCGGCACCGGGGGTGCCGGAAGCCGAATGAGCAGGGTTTAGGGTTTTAGGGTTGTAGGGTTGTAGGGAGTTTAGGGTTTTTAGGGTTTAGGGTTTTAGGGAGTTTAGGGTTTTAGGGAGTTTAGGGTTTTAGGGTTTAGGGTTTTTGGGTTTTGGGGCTTTAGGGTTTAGGGTTTTAGGGTTTTTTCAGGGTTTCGGATGACCTTGTCCGCAAAGGCCCCGGGGCGGACTTGTCGAAGTTTTGCCACCTCTACGAACATGCGACGCCTCCTGGCCGGCAGCCACTTTTCAGGGGGTTTAGGGGGTTCAGGGGTTTGGGGTTTAGGGTTTGGGGGGGTTTTGGGGAATTCAGGGGCTTAAGGGTTTGGGGTTTGGGCGTTTAGGGGTGTGGGGTGTAGGGTTTAGGGTTTCAGGGGTCTAGGGGTTTACGGCAAAAGAGGTTGTTTCAAGTTGAAGTTCGAATGGGCAACTTGTGTAGTACCGGAGACAGGGGCCTAAAGCCCCAAGCCCAAAACCTAAGTCCTCAAGCTTTCCTACCCCTGAGTTATTGAGGGTTTCGGGTCTAGGGTTCAGGCCCCTCTGTTCCAGGCAGGGGCCTCCCCGGGCCTTAGGGTTTAGGGCTTAGGGTTAGCGCTTAGGGCGCCCTCAACCTGAACCCTCTAAACTCTCAGGCCCTAGGACCCTACACCCCCAGAAGCCCAAGACCTAAGCCCTGAGACCCTAAACCCTAAACCCTAAACCCTAAACCCTAAACCCTAAACCCTAAACCCTAAACCCTAAACCCTAAACCCTAAACCCTAAACCCTAAACCCTAAACCCTAAACCCTAAACCCTAAACCTCTAAGACCCTTCGCCCTCAAACCTGAGGATCACGCAGTCCGACCTTTGCGGGTTCACGCAGTTGGCGGCCACAAAGACCCCGTTCTTAACGGAGGGGGGGTTCAGGGGGGTATAGGGTTTAGGGTTTAGGGTTTAGGGTTTAGGGTTTAGGGTAACTCAAGGTTCCCTAAGACTCCCCACTACTCCCTAAGGCCCCCCTGAGCTTCCCCTTCCCCCAGGTGCCCCTCTCCCTTAAGAACCTTACAAGTTAAGCGCTTCGGGGTTCAGGGTTTAAGGGCTATAGGGTTTGGGGGTTTTAGGGGTTTGGGGCTTAAGGGTTTTATAGGGTTTAGGATATAGGGTTTAGGGTTGGGGGGGAGGGTCATACTAAACCCCACCTGCCCTAAACACCCCCGAAACCCTGAACCTGTCACCTGAGGGCTCTCAGGACTCTCATGTCGGGAATTCGAGGGTTTAGGGTTTAGGGTTTAGGGTTTAGGGTTTAGGGTTCAACCGCATCGCTTTTGGCGGTACTTCGGAAGCCCAGGTTTTGGGCTCGGGGGCTCCAAAAGCCCCAAACCCTAAAGCCCAAGTTGCAGTTTAGGGTTTAGGGTTTAGGGTTTAGGGTTTAGGGTTTAGGGTTTAGGGTTTAGGGTTTAGGGTTTAGGGTTTAGGGTTTTTTGGGGTTTTTGGGGCTTAGGGGCTTAGGGTTTGGGGTTTCGGGTTTTGGGGTTTGAGGGTCTAGGTGAAGAGCGCAGGACGCCTGCCGAAGTAGTCGACTTCGTCGCAGACCTCTTCGGGAGGCTCCTAATGAGGGGCTGTGTTTTGGCTGAGTTCTTATAATTAGGGTATGTAGTTGCAAGGTCCCTCAGTATGGGCCCTTAAAGATATCTTATATACCCCTTCTATAACCCAAGGGCCCTGACATCAGAACCCTTTAGAGAGGGTAAGGCACCATTTCAAGGGCCCATGCAACTACCCATAGAAGCCTAAACCCTGACCCTAAACCCTAAACCCTAAACCCTAAACCCTAAACCCTAAACCCTAAACCCTAAACCCTAAACCCTAAACCCTAAACCCTAAACCCGAAACCCTAAACCCTAAACCCTAAACCCTAAACCCTAACCCTAAACCCTAAACCCTAAACCCTAACCCTAAACCCTAAACCCTAAACCCTAAACCCTAAACCCTAAACCCTAAACCCTAAACCCTAAACCCTAAACCCTAAACCCTAAACCCTAAACCCTGAACCCTGAACCCTGAACCCTAAACCCTCCCTAAACCCTAAACCCTAAACCCTAAACCGTAAAGCCTAAAGCCTAAAGCCTAAAGCCGAAACCCTAAACCCTAAACCCTAAACCCTAAACCGATAGGGTTTCGGGCTTAGGGTGCCCAACGGCCGCTCGGTATTCGGCGCCGAGCATGGCTCGTGCGTTGTCGAAGTCATGCGACGCCCGGGCCATAAGCGTGGAAGAATGCGAGGAATGGAGACCGATCCTGGATTTCATCTCGGTCGATTTCGGGAACGTGGACACAGCCGAGAACTTGTACAATTCCCTGTGCGCTGCCATGGCGCTGGCCGCATCCGAGTTTCGAAAGGTTCCCGAAAGAGAAGCCGATGATGAACCGAAACCAACCAAGGCCAATGGCTCGCATGCCAGTGGTTTAGGTCTTGGGGTTTGGGGGTTTGGGGGTTTAGGGTTTAGGGTTTAGGGTTTAGGGTTTGGGGTTCAGGGTTTAGGGTTTGGGGTTTAGAGTTTGGGGTTTAGGGTTTAGGTTTTGGGGTTTTCATATATACGAGTTCTGTAATCCAGGACTTTTGGGGGAATAGGTACCCTATCCCCCATACTAGCCGTCAAGGGATGCTAGAGGGTGGCGGCTTCCGTACGTCCCTTGCTCATCGGTAAGGTGGGGGTTTGGTGTTGCAGGCTTTTGGGGATTGGGGCTAATCCTTAAACCCTAAACCCCAAACCCTAAACCCTAAACCCTAAAACCCTAAACCCTAAACCCTAAACCCTAAACCCTAAACCCTAAACCCTAAACCCTGAACCCTAAACCCTAAACCCTACACCCTAAACCCTAAACCTTAATCGCGAGACTCGAAAGCTTCCCGAGCGCCTTTTTGCAGGTTCGATGTGCAGACTGACAAGTATGGCGTCTACAAGGCTGGGGGGTTGCCATGGGGTGAAGGGAGTCAAGGAGGGACTGTTCTTAGGCTCGGGGTTTAGGGTTTAGGGTTTTGGGTTAGGGTTTAGGGTTTAGGGTTTATTGTTTAGGGTTTAGGGTTTAGGGTGAAGGGACTGTTTCGGCATGTTTCTCGGAATAGTTAGAGGATGTACAATTTGGTACCTCCAGACTTAAACGCCCCAACCCTAAAGTGTGAGGGGTCAGGGAAGTATAGGGCAGTAGTGTCAAGGGTTCCTTCAAGGGTTCCGGGTGCGCTTGTAGCGCTCCAAAGCCTAAAGCCGAAGGCCCAAACGCTAAACCCTAAACCCCAAACCTGAAACCCGGAACCCTAAACCCGAAACCCTAGACCCGAAACTCTAAACCGTAAACCCGAAACCCTCAAAACTGGAGACCTGAGGTGGAAACCGTGGGCGATGCCTACATTGCAGGCCCACGTGCCAAGAGTTGAACTTTAAGCTGTCAGGGTTTCCTTATGTTTTCTAGGGGTTTAGGGTTTAGGGTTTAGGGTTTAGGGCTTAGGGTTTAGGGTTTAGGGTTTAGGGTCTGTAGGACTGGCGGAACAACAAAGCTTAAGCTTGTTGATTCCCAAGGGTATTGGAGAAGTGAGCCCGAAGCCCCCAAACCCCAAAGCCAGAAACCCTAAAAGTCCTTAAGCCCACAAAGCCCTACAGCCGTACACCCTACACCCTAAACCCTCAACCCTAAACCCTAAACCTAAACCCTAAACCTAAACCCTAAACCCGAACGCGCAGTCAAGCGCTGCCCTAAGCCCTGAACCCTAGGAGCCTTTTGTCTTGTTTAGGCGGGTTTCGGGTTTTAGGGCGTGCGGCTGAGGGTTTGGGGTTTTAGGGTTTAGGGTTGAAGCCCTAAAACCGAAACTCTACAGGGCTTCGGGTCGAGGGTAGCAGGCGAAACACGTGACTAATCAGGGTTTACGGTTGTCTTACATATTACTGTATATTCTATATATATATATATATATACATACAAAGCAACTGCGAATATCAGTAGAAATGGTACAGAATACATATATATATATACACATACATTGGTACTTCTATTTTTATTCATAATCATTTAAAATTCATTAAACATGCATGTACACTCTCAAAAGACGGCCTTTTACGTTCCTACGTGAGCTACTTAAAACTTAGTAGGTCGCTGCTCAGTTTTTGTGGCCCCTTCTAAGTGCAAAAGGATGGCCCTAACTTGGGTGACAGAAGTCGAAACCTAGTGCCGCTGGCACAACTGCACATGTTGCCTACCGACACACAGCGTTATTGTTGATCTTATGTTTCTGCTTTTGAAGCAACTTAACGTAAGTTTTTGCAGCAATAAAGGAGCCCATGGGCTCATCTTGAGATTTTCAGCAGCAATCTCACAGCCGTACGTGGAGGCCAGTGCCCACGGAGGCTAGTTGTAGGAGTTTAGGGTTTAGGGTAACCTTAAACCCTAAACCCTAAACCCTAAACCCTAAACCCTAAACCCTAAACCCCAAACCCCAAACCCAAGCCCACACTTGATGTGAGAGGCATGGCTGAGAACACCCTGACAACTGAGAACTCAGTGCTCAAGGCTTGGGGTTTGGCTTGGTGGTGGTATTCGGGTGTTATTCGGCGGTTAGGATTTCGGGGTTTAGGGTTTAGGGGTTTAGGGTTTAGGGTTTAGGGTTTAGGGTTTAGGGTTTAGGGGGCTAGGATATGAGTCGTGCATGGTGTGGAACCAGACTTGGGTCGGTTTGGAGTGACCTAAAAACCCAACCCCCTGGACCCTAAACCCTAAACCCCGAAGCCCGAAACGAGTCTCGGCTTGCGATTGGTTCTTCGGGTTTGGCAGGCTTCTTGGGCTAGGAAGGATCGGGCCTAGGCTTCTCTCAGGGTTTTCAGGGTTTCGGGTTTAGGGTCTTGGGGGATTTTTTTGGGCCCTAAACCCCAAACCTAAACTCTAAACAAGCCTACACCCTAAACCCCGCTTGAATGATTTAGGGCTTGGGGTTTGCCGGTGCTTCGCGCACAGCACCACGCGGGACGCGTGTTGCGGTGTGCGCCCACCACGTTCCCTTCCGACCCGCCCACCCACATCTCGACCTTCGGGGGGCTTAGGGCTTAGGACTTAGTGTTGGGTTTAGGGTTGGGGGTTGGTTTGTTCCCCCTGATACTAACAGTCCTTAGTAGAGGTTTTGAATAGGGCGTACTTCGATCCCTATTCAGGACTGTTAGTATAAGGGGGAACATCCCAAGCTAGAGTACAAAGAGGCTCAAGTCACACGTAAAGTCCTCGGCTCGGCCGGTGACAGAATGGCGTAAGACAAGAAGCCTTGCAACACAAGAAGCCTTGCGCTTGGGTTCACGAGGGCAAAGGCGATGCTGTTTTGGCGGCTTTCTTTGTTGCCCCCCCCCTCCCCCCCCCCCTCCCCCCCCCCTCCTCCCCCCTCCCCCCCCCCCCCCTCCCCCCCCTCCCCCCCTCCCCCCCCCCCCTCCCCCCCCCCCTCCCCCCCCCCCTCCCCCCCCCCCTCCCCCCCCCCCTCCCCCCCCCCCCCCCTCCCCCTCCCCCGAGCCGGAACTCTGAGGGATGAAGGCAGACTTGCCCTTTTTCAACCCAAGACCATCTTGCTTCACAAGGGAAGAGTAGGACTCCCCCCCACGATTTTGTGAAAGTGGGTCTTAGTGTCGCGGCCTTGAGAAGCCCGTAGGCCCTAAGTCCTAATTTGCCAATCCTAGATGATGGTGAAGCCCAACCAAACAACCAGAAGTTTAGGTTTCAGGGTTTAGGGTTTAGGTTTATGGTTTAGGGTTTGGGGTTCAGGGTTTAGGGTTTAGGGTTTAGGGTTTAGGGTTTAGGGTTTAGGGTGTAGTTCTCTTTTGGTCCTGCCTGAAGTTGGCACGCGGGGTTCAACCTTGCCATGCGTGGGCCGCGCTCGCGGTGCGACTCGGGCTCCGCGGACTGTCGCCATCCTAAACCCTAAACCCTAAACCCTAAACCTAAAACCCTAAACCCTAAACCCTAAACCCTAAACCCCTAAACCCTAAACCCTAAACCCTAAACCCTAAACCCTAAACCCTAAACCCTAAACCCTAAACCCTAAACCCTAAACCCTCAGCACCTTCCGTGTGAACAGGTTGTCCAGTTCGGCTTGGCGATGATCGAGGACATGCAAGCGAATTCAAACGATCCCAAGCCCGGAAACCAAAACCCTGAACCTTAACCCTGAACCTTAAACCCTAAACCCTAACCTTAAACCCTAAACCCAAAACCTTAAATCCTGAGCCCTAAACCCGAAACCCCAAGCTCCAAGCAGTAAACCCTGGATGAAAGGCTCGTGGAAGGCTTCAGGAGAGTCCATGGCAGTCTAGGGTCTTTCTTCTTCATGAACACCTCAGGGTTTAGGGTTTAGGGTTTCGGGTTTAGGGTTTAGGGTTTACGGTTTAGGGTTAGAACATGTCCTTCCCCCCCAACAAAGCAATGCACATTCAAACTTAGGCTGCAACCCTAAACTCTAAGCCTTAGACACCCTAAACCCTAACCAAGCTCTGGGGCCGAAAGCCCTAAAGCCCTAAAACCCTAGAACCCTACAACCCTAACACCCTTAAACCTAATCCCTCAACCCTAAACCCTAAAACCCTAAAACCCTAAAACCCTAAAACCCTAAAACCCTAAAACCCTAAAACCCTAAAACCCTAAAACCCTAAAACCCTAAAACCCTAAACCCCCAAACCCTAAAACCCTAACACCCTAAAGCCCTAAAATCCTAATACCTTAAAACCCTAAAACCCTGAAGCCCCTAAAGCATGAAACGCCCCTCCTTGGGTTGCCCTAATCATAAACCCGAAGCCCGAAACCCTAAACCCTAAACCCTCAACCCTAAAACCCTAAGCCCTAAACGCCAAGCCCTAAACCCAAACCCTAAACCCTACAGTAAACCCAGACACGGCACCTTCGTGCTTTCTTTTTAGCTTTGTGGGTTGCGGGTTAGGGCTCGCGGCAATGCACGTTGTGTCGGAGGGGTCACAGAACCTGACCGGCTTCCACTCGATCGCGGGACTTCGAAGATCGAAGTCTACTCTCGGCTGGTTCGCTGAGGTACTTAGAGGTTCACCGTACTTCTGAACCAATTATCACGGTACTTTTTACCATACTAGGGCTAAGGGGCTCATAAGTGGCTTATAAGCACAGTTATATCATTGGTTCATACGTACCATGAACCTCCAAGTAGGCGGAGGGGTCCGGCTGGCTCGGGCTTGGCCGTCGTGGCTTCGCCTTGCCTGAACCCTAAACCCTAAACCCTAAACCCTAAACCCTAAACCCTAAACCCTAAACCCTAAACCCTAAACCCTAAACCCTAAACCCTAAACCCTAAACCCTAAACCCTAAACCCTAAACCCTAAACCCTATAACCCTGAAACCCTATAGGCCTATGTCCGATTTGGCGCCTGTGAGAGCGGCCTGGACTTCCGATCGCTGGTCTTTGCGTCGCTGCACGGTGCATCTCTTGCCGATCCTCCCGGTACCATCCCTGCGCCAAGGCACCGCAGAGCGCAGCTGTCCGCAGACTCTGCAAGCAGGGTCCGTTAGGGCTTCAGGGTTTGATGCAGGACCCCACCCGGGACCACGCCTTATGATTGTGTCTGAGGCCCAGTCCGGGGGACCAGCGATGCAGGTACCAGCGATGCCAAGCCCCCCTTCAAGGGCACCAGGACCGCCACAAGGACGGCAGCACCCACTCGCCACGGAACATTGAGCAAGGACGGGGCCTGAAGTCTCAAACGCTGAAACCCTAAAACCCTACAAACAAAAACCCTAAAGCCCTGATGCCCTAAAACCCTAAAAATCCTAAAACCCTAAAACCCTGAAACCCTAAAACCCTGAAACCCTAAAGCCCTAAAGCCCTAAAACCCTAAACCTAAAACCCTCAAACCCTAAACCCTCAAACACTAAACCCGAAAGCCCTAAAGCCCTAAAACCCTAGAACCTGAAAACCCTAGACCTCTAGAACCCTCAAACCCTAAAACCCTGAAAGCCTAAAGCCCTAAAACCCTAAAAACCTGGAACCCGAAACCCGGAAACCCTTGAACCCAAAACCCGAAACCCCTAAAACCCTAAAACCCGAAAACCCTAAACCCTTTAAACCCTAAACCCTCAACCCTAAAACCCTAAAGCCCTATAGACCCTTTTTTGGGGAAGGAGCCCGAAAGCCCCAAAACCCTAAGAAACCTTAAGCCCTAACCCCTAAGCCCTAAACCCTAAACCCTAAACCCTAAACCCTAAACCCCAAACCCTAAACCCTAAACCCTAAACCCCAAACCCTAAACCCTAAACCCTAAAACCCGGTTTCCCTTCCTTTGGGAAAGGAGACGTCAGCCTGGGCTGCCGCGCTGGGAGTTCAGGCCGGACGTGCCTGCCGGGGTCAGAAAGCGGAGCGACGCCGAAGGTAGGGTTTAGGGTTTAGGGTTTAGGGTTTAGGGTTTAGGGTTTAGGGTTTAGGGTTTAGGGTTTAGGGTTTAGGGTTTAGGGTTTAGGGTTTAGGGTTTAGGGTTTAGGGTTTAGGGGTTAGGGGTTTAGGGTTTAGGGTTTAGGGTTTGGGGTTTAGGGTTTAGGGTTTAGGGTTTAGGGGTTTAGGGTTTAGGGTTTAGGGTTTAGGCTTTAGGGTTTAGGGTTTAGGCTTTAGGGTTTAGGGGTTTAGGGTTTAGGCTTTAGGGGTTTAGGGGTTTAGGGTTTAGGGGTTAGGGTTTAGGCTTTGGGGTTTAGAGTTTAGGTTTTGAGGGTTTGGGGTTTAGGGTTTCGTCTCCAACCCAGAGCAAGACCGAGGACTACTGAATGCTAAGCTCCAAACCAGAACGTCCTCCGATCCCGCTGCCCTGAGCCCTAAACCCTTAAACTCTTAAACCCTAAACCCTAAACCCTTAAACCCTAAACGCTTAAACTCTTAAACCCTTAAACCCTTAAACCCTAAAAAACCCTAAACAACCCTAAAAAACCCTAAACCCTAAACCCTAAACCCTAAACCCTAAACCCTATACCCTGAACCCTCCCTGCGGTAGAGGTCACCTGCCGCGTGGGCGTCCACCACGGCGAGTGCGTGGGAGGGATCGCCATGCCCTCGGAGTGGCGTGGGGGTGCGGCGCCAGGGTTTAAGGCCCTAAACCCCAAACCTAAACCCCAAACCCCAAACCCTAAACCCTAAACCCTAAACCCTAAGCCCGAAACCCTAAACCCTAAACCCTAAACCCTAAACCCCAAGCTCTAAGCCCTAAATCCTAAACCCTAAACCATAAACCCTACAGGTTCAGAGGGTTTAGGGTTTAGGGTTAAGAGGGTTTGCATGCGGTTTTGCAGGGAATTTAGGCTTGTAGGCTTTAGGGTTCGGCCCTTGGGGTTGAAGTTTTTTTCGGCGTTATACGGTTTATTGGGTTTGTATGTAGAGTTTGCAGGGTTTACAGGGTTTGTAGGGTCTTAGGGTCTTAGGGTTTGTAGGGAACCCTAAACCCCTAAGCCCTAAACCCTAAACCCGAAACCCTAAACGATTCGCTGTATATCGTTCTGTTATTTCTTACCCTAAGCCCGGAACCCTAAACCCCTAAACCCTAAGCCCTAAACCGTAAACTCTGAACCCTAAACCCTGAACCCTAAACCCCTCAATCTTAAACCCTCAACCCTAAACCCCAAACCCCAAACCCTAAACCCAAGAGGAGCTCCTGTTCCTTGATCATCCCTGAGCCCCTCAACGCCTCGAGCAGAGGCCTCGCCCAAGCCCTAAAGCCGACATGTTTAGGGTTTCGGGTTTAGGGTTTAGGGTTACTCCAAAGTTCGAAAAGAAAGCTTTCCTCGACACTCCTCGCAGCTTTCCTCGAACCTTTCTCCGAAACACTCCCCCAAACTTTCCCCAAGCCTGAACCCTGAATAGTTTCAATCTGAGCCCTCAACCCTAAACGGATGCCTTAAACCCTAAACCCCAAGCCCTAAATCCTAAACCCTAAACCCTAACCCCCCCCCCCCCCTCCCCAGCCGAGGTCGGGAAGGGAATGCAGCGCCAGCGCCCTCAGTTCGCTGAGTCGAACCCCCAAGCCCCAAGACTTTGTCATAGTTGGGTAACATTTTACATCTTTAAGGGTACTTCAACTCAATAAGGAATAAAATTTAAATTTTTAATATTATCCCAATAATGAACTAGAAGAAATGGCCTGAAACAGGACTGCTGGGTTTGGGGTTTGGGGTTTTGGGTTTGGGGTTTAGGGTCTGGGGTTTGGGGTTTAGGGTTTGGGGTTTAGGGTCTGGGGTTTGGGGTTTAGGGTTTGGGGTTTGGGTTTGGGGTATGGGGTTTAATTAGGGGTTTCGGGTTTCAGGGTCTTGGGTTTGGGTTTAGGGCTGTGGCATCCGCATAGGATGTAGGTGATAAAGGCCGGCGGCCACTTTATTCGTTGTCACTATAGCCCCTACTAGATAGCCTAGGAACCCTAAGCCCTTAGCCCTAAACCCTGTAGGGTTGAGGGCTCACGGTTTAGGTTTACAGGTGTAGGGTTCGCCATGAAAAGGGGTTCCCTGAACAGAGGTGTCAAACTTTGGATACAACATACTCCCTAAACCTTAAGCCCTAAGCCCTAAGCCTTAAACCCTAATAAAACCCTAAACCCGAAACCCTAAACCCTAAACCCTCAACCCAAACCCTAAAGCCTAAACCCTAAACATTCAACCCCAAACCCTAAACCCCAAACCCTTAAACCCCTAAACCCTAAGCCCTAAACCTTAAACCCTAAACCCTAAACCCTAAACCCTCTCTTACTATGTATATTTAAACCCTAATGACCTTCGTCGGCATATTGTTTTTTTTCCCCGGGCGGGGGCCCTAAACCCTGACGCCCTTCGTCGGCATGTTGTTTTTTTTCCCCGGGCGGGGGCCCTAAACCCTGACGCCCTTCGTCGGCATATTGTTTTTTTTCCCCGGGCGGGGGCCCTAAACCCTGACGCCCTTCGTCGGCATATTGTTTTTTTTCCCCGGGCGGGGGCCCTAAACCCTGACGCCCTTCGTCGGCATATTGTTTTTTTTCCCCGGGCGGGGGCCCTAAACCCTGACGCCCTTCGTCGGCATGTTGTTTTTTTTCCCGGGCGGGGGCCCTAAACCCTGACGCCCTTCGTCGGCATGTTGTTTTTTTTCGCCGGGCGGGGGCCCTAAACCTGACGCCCTTCGTCGGCATATTGTTTTTCCCCGGGCGGGGGCCCTAAACCCTGATGCCCTTCGTCGGCATATTGTTTTTTTTCCCCGGGCGGGGGCCCTAAACCCTGACGCCCTTCGTCGGCATATTGTTTTTTTTCCCCGGGCGGGGGCCCTAAACCCTGACGCCCTTCGTCGGCATATTGTTTTTTTTCCCCGGGCGGGGGCCCTAAACCCTGACGCCCTTCGTCGGCATATTGTTTTTTTTCCCCGGGCGGGGGCCCTAAACCCTGACGCCCTTCGTCGGCATGTTGTTTTTTTTCCCCGGGCGGGGGCCCTAAACCCTGACGCCCTTCGTCGGCATATTGTTTTTTTCCCCGGGCGGGGGCCCTAAACCCTGACGCCCTTCGTCGGCATATTGTTTTTTTTCCCCGGGCGGGGGCCCTAAACCCTGACGCCCTTCGTCGCATATTGTTTTTTTCCCGGCGGGGGGCCCTAAACCCGACGCCCTTCGTGTTGTTTTTTTCCCCCCCCCCCCCCCCCCCCCCCACCCCCCCCCCACCCCCCCCACCCCCACCGCCCCCCCCCCCCCACCCCCCCCCCAACCCCCCCCCCCCCACCCCCACCCCCACCCCACCCCCCCCACCCCCCCCCCCCACACCCCACCCCCCCCCCCGTCCCACCCCACAACCCTCCCTATTCCCATCCAGCAAGTGAGGAGGTTTGATTTCGGTTTTGGGTTAACTGGACCTTGAGCTTTAAGCCTACTGGGAATGTATTGAGTGAACTTTGTATTTTCTCAATGTTATGGGTTTCCTGGGTGGGTGGGGTTTTATTCCAACGCTTGACAAGCTGCTTGACTAGTAAATGCTCGGCCTTGAGGTGCTGAACCCTAAACCCTAAACCCTAAACCCTAAACCCTAAACCCTAAACCCTAAACCCTAAACCCTAAACCCTAAACCCTAAACCCTAAACCCTAAACCCTAAACCCTAACGGCACCTGCAGAGGCTTTGGGGCTTTAGGGTTTAGGGTTTAGGGGGCTTTGGGGGTTCAGGGTTCAGGGTTCAGGGTTTAGGGTTTAGGGTTTAGGGTTCAGGGTTTAGGGTTTAGGGTCTGGGTATAGGGTTTAGGGTTTAGGGCTTTGGGGTTTCAGGGTTTGGGGTTTTCGGTTGGGATTGGTCTGATGCTGTAGGACTTGGGGCTCGCGGCATCGCACGTTATGTAGGATAGTTCAGGGTTTAGGGTTCTTGTGTCCCCGTGCTGGGCTAAGCCCAAGAACCTGACCGGCTTCCACAGGGTTTAGGGTTTAGGGTTTAGGGTTTAGGGTTTAGGGTTTAGGGTTTTGTGTATCTGTACTCGTATGTCCCCATCCGGGACAACGCCCTTTGAAGGTGTCTGTGGCCAAGTCCGGAAGACGGGGTACCCTAAACCCTAAACCCTAAACCCTAAACCCTAAACCCTAAACCCTAAACCCTAAAATTGGGACCAGCGGATGTGGTGCCCCTCGACAAGTCACCTCCGGGCCTGTGGTTGAAGGGCACAAGGACATCGAGCAAACACCTACGCCTGAAGCCTCGAACACACAAACCCTACAACCCAAAAAGCCAAGAACCCTCAGACCCCAAAACCCCAAAACCCAAAAACCCAAAACCCTAAAGCCTAAAACCCTAAAACCCACAAAACCACAAAACCCTAAAACCCTCAACCCTAAGCCTTAAAACCCTAACACCCTAAAACCCTGAAGCCCCAAAAACCCTGAAACCTTAAAATCCTACAACTCGCAACCCTCAGCCCTAAAACCCCAAAACCCTGAAACCCCAACAAACCTAAAGCACGAAATGCTCCTCCTTGGGTTGCCCTAGTCATAACGCCTTTACTATAGAACCCCCGCCCCCCCAGGTTTTAGGGTTTAGGGTTCAGGGTTTAGGGACAACGCAAGCCCCCCGAGGCCCTATACCCTCAACCCAGCTGTAGGCTACCATCTTTTTGGCGCCCTGATGAACCAAGTGGACACGCTGGAGGCCGCAGTTGAGGGTTTAGGGTTTAGGGTTTAGGGTTTAGGGTTTAGGGTTTAGGGTTTAGGGTTTTAGGGTTTAGGGTTTAGGGTTTAGGGTTTAGGGGTTGGGGGACTTCCAGAACTAGTCCTTGTACTTTGGTGTCTTAGTCTGCGCTTGAGCCCCGGGAGTGTCGCTGTAAATTTGGGCACTGTAGGGTTTAGGGTTTAGGGTTTAGGGTTTAGGGTTTAGGGTTTAGGGTTTAGGGTTTAGGGTTTAGGGTTTAGGGTTTAGGGTTTAGGGTTTAGGGTTTAGGGTTTAGGGTTTCCATGACTTGATTGATCACCTCACAACCCTAAACCCTAATCCCTGAACCCTAAAGCCAAAAGTCTAAAGGCTAAAGCCTAAAGCCTAAAGCCTAAAGGCTAAAGCCTAAAGCCTAAACCCTAAACCCTAAACCCTAAACCCTAAACCCTAAAGCCTAAACCCTGCGCCTTTCGTGGACTCAAGCCCAAGAGCTTTGAAACCTCGAAACCAGAACGTTATCTGTTTACCCCCCCCCCCCCGCCCTGCCCAGTCCTAAAGCCCTCCAGAGAGCCCCCCCTAAACCCTAAACCCTAAACCCTAAACCCTAAACCCTAAACCCTAAACCCTAAACCCTAAACCCTAAACCCTAAACCCTAAACCCTAAACCCTAAACCCTAAACCCTAAACCCTAAGCCCTTTTTTCAAACATCAGAGCATCAGAGCCTAGATTCAGGCATAGCAGGAAGAAGTACCGGACATTCAGGAAACAGAGCAGGCATTCAGACCCCTAAACCCCAACGCCGCAACCCTAAACCCTAAACCCTAAACCCTAAACCCGAAACCCCAAGCCCTAAGCCCTAAGCCCTAAGCCCTAAGCCCTAAGCCCTAAGCCCTAAACCCTAAACCCTAAACCCTAAACCCTAAACCCTAAACCCTAAACCCTAAACCCTAAACCCTAAACCGGTGCGGGCAGGGGGGCTTCTCATAGGGTTGAGGGTTGGGGCCCCAGGGCTGAGAGTAAAAAGTAGTGGTGACTATAAGTAGAGTAGAGCAGCAACAAAATCGTATACTACCCTACCCGAAACCCTAAGCCTAAACCCTAGCCCCAAACGCTAAACCCTAAACCAGGAGGTTTAGGGTTTAGGATGGTTTCGGGTTTAGAATGGTTTAGGGCTAGGGCTTAAGGTCTAGGATTTAGGCTGTAGGCTGTAGGCTTCAAGGTTAAGGGCTTAGGCTTTACGTGTAGATTTGGGCTCGAGGGTTTAGAGTTTAGGATGGTTTAGGGTTTAGGATTTAGGGTTTAGGGTTTAGGATTTAGGGTTTAGGGTGTAGGGTTGAGGGTTTGAGGCGTGAGAGGGTGGATGTCGCTTCATGCAGGATTGAGGGGTTCGGGTTTAGGGTTCAGGGTTTAGTGTTTCGGATGTAGGGTGCATAAGTTGGTGTGTTCCCCCTTGTGCAATCGGGATTATCGTACGTACCCCCTATCATAATCCCGTTCAAGGGCTGCTAGTAGAAGGGGGCACATCCCAATGTATAGGGTATTCTGCAGCCTAAACCCTAAACCCTAAACCCTAAACCCTAAACCCTAAACCCTAAACCCTAAACCCTAAACCCTAAACCCTGAGGTCTCGGGTTTAGAGTTTGTGTTGCAGGGGTCTGGGATGTGAAAGATTCGGGGATTGCCAGCTATGGTTTCGCGAGATGCCACGACTCGTTTTCTGAATTGTCGCCGTTTAGGGTTTAGGGTTTAGGGTGTAGGGCTTAGGGTTGGCGCCTATATTTCTTAGCAGCCTAACCGCTTCTTGAGCCGGAAGTCCTAAAGCTCTCTAAACCCCTCAACCCCCAAACACGCAACCTCCCAACCCCCCCCCCAAACACCCAACCCCCCAAACCCCAAGCTCCAAAGCCCAAACCCCCCAAACCCGACACCTCAAACCCCAAACCCCAAGCCCCAAACCCTAAACCCCAGACCCTCAACCCTAAACCCCAAACCCCAAACCCTCAACCCTCAACCCTAAACCCTACGCGCCCTAAACCCTAAACCCCAAACCCTAAACCCTAAACCCCCAAACATCGACTGCGGGTTACCCCTGAGCGAGCCAGGCCACTTCCCGCGAGGGCATCACGCAAATCAGCAAAGCCTGCAAGGCGCCGTCTTGCGGTCTTTCGAGGGTTTCGGGGGTGTTTAGGGTTTGGGGTTAGGGTTAGGGGTTTGGGGTTTGGGGTTTAGGGTTTAGGGTTTAGGGTTTAGGGTTTAGGGCATTTTGTGTTTTCCCGAAAGCTTCAGCGAAGGGTTCTTCGGAAAAAAAACGTCAACCTACCATCACCACACTACAATCACCACACTCCAATCACCACACTACCATCACCACACTACCATCACCACACTACAATCACCACACTCCAATCTCCACACTACCATCACCACACTACCATCACATCACTTCTGCTATTAAATTCTCTCTTATTTCTTAGGCTGGGGTGGGTTTCGCCGCGGCTAGCGCGATGCACCCTCTGCGGGGATCGTGCGCGTCGGAGCGCTCCCGCTGTGCGTTTTTGCGCATTTAGATGTGCGCCCGCGCGCCCTCTGCGGGGATCGTGCGTGTCGGAGCGCTCCCGCTGTGCGTTTTTGCGCATGTGGATTTGCGCCCGCGCGCTCTCTGCGGGGATCGTGCGTGTCGGAGCGCTCCCGCTGTGCGTTTTTGCGCATTGTACAACTTGCTTCGCACACCCTCTGCGGGGATCGTGCGTGTTGGAGCGCTCCCGCTGTGCGTTTTTGCGTATTTTCAAGCGTGGTCGTGCACCCTCTGCGGGGATCGTGCGTGCCGGAGCCTTCCTCACCTCTTCCTCTCCTCTTCCTCTCCTCTTCCTCTGCTCTTCTTTTCCTCTTCCTCTCCTCTTCCTCTCCTCTTCTTTTCCTCTTCCTCTCTTCTTCCTCTCCTCTTCCTCTCCTCTTCCTCTCCTCTTCCTCTCTCTTCTCCTCTTCCTCTCCTCTTCCTCTCCTCTTCCTCTCCTCTTCTTTTCCTCTTCCTCTCCTCTTCCTCTCCTCTTCCTCTCCTCTTCCTCTCCTCTTCCTCTCTCTCTTCCTCTCCTCTTCCTCTCCCCTTCCTCTCCTCTTCCTCTCCTCTTCTTTCTCCTCTTCCTCTCCTCTTCTTCTTCTCCTCTTCTTCCTCTCCTCTTCCTCTCCTCTTCCTCTCCTCTTCCTCTCCTCTTCCTCTCCTCTTCCTCTCCTCTTCCTCTCCTCTTCCTCTCCTCTTCCTCTCCTCTTCCTCTCCTCCTTCCTCTCTCCTCTTCCTCTCCTCTTCCTCTCCTCTTCCTCTCCTCTTCCTCTCCTCTCCTCTTCCTCTCCTCTTCCTCTGCTCTTCCTCTGCTCTTCCTCTCCTCTTCTTCTTCCCTTCTTCCTCTTCTTCCTCTCCTCTTCCTCTCCTCTTCCTCTCCTCTTCCTCTCCTCTTCTTTTCCTCTTCCTCTCCTCTTCCTCTCCTCTTCTTTTCCTCTTCCTTTCTTCTTCCTCTCCTCTTCCTCTCCTCTTCCTCTCCTCTTCCTCTCCTCTCCTCTCCTCTCCTCTTCCTCTCCTCTTCCTCTCCTCTTCCTCTCCTCTTTCCTCTTCTTTTCCTCTTCCTCTCCTCTTCCTCTCCTCTTCTTTTCCTCTTCCTCTCCTCTTCCTCTCCTCTTCCTCTCCTCTTCCTCTCCTCTTCCTCTCCTCTTCCTCTCCTCTTCCTCTCCTCTTCCTCTGCTCTTCCTCTCCTCTTCTTCCTCTTCCTTCTTCCTCTCCTCTTCCTCTCCTCTTCCTCTCCTCTTCCTCTCCTCTTCCTCTCCTCTTCCTCTCCTCTTCCTCTCCTCTTCCTCTCCTCTTCTTTTCCTCTTTCTCCTCTTCCTCTCCTCTTCCTCTCCTCTTCCTCTCTTCTTCCTCTCCTCTTCCTCTCCTCTTCCTCTGATCTTCTTTTCCTCTTCTTTTCCTCTTCCTCTCCTCTTCCTCTCCTCTTCTTTTCCTCTTCCTCTCCTCTTCCTCTCCTCTTCCGCTCCTCTTCCTCTCCTCTCCTCTTCCTCTCCTCTTCCTCTGCTCTTCCTCTGCTCTTCCTCTCCTCTTCCTCTCCTCTTCCTCTCCTCTTCCTCTCCTCTTCCTCTCCTCTTCCTCTGCTCTTCTTTTCTTCTTCCTCTCCTGGAAAGTCGACTTTTGTAGTACAAACGTAGTACGCCGCGGACGCCCCCCGGAGCTGCCGTGGCTGGAAAGTCGACTTTTTGCAGTACAAACGTAGTACGCCGCGGACGCCCGGAGCTGCCGTGGCTGGAAAGTCGACTTTTTGTAGTACAAATGTAGTACGCCGCGGACGCCCGGAGCTGCCGTAGCTGGAAAGTCGACGTTTTGTAGTACAAACGTAGTACGCCGCGGACGCAGGAGCTGCCGTAGCTGGAAAGTCGACTTTTTGTCGTACAAACGTAGCACTTGTAGTACAAACGTAGTACTCCGCGGACGCCCGGAGCTGCTGTGGCTGGAAAGTCGACTTTTTGTAGTACAAACGTAGTACGCCGCGGACGCCCGGAGCTGCCGTAGCTGGAAAGTCGACTTTTTGTAGTACAAGCGTAGTACGCCGCGGACGCCCGGAGCTGCCGTGGCGTGAAAGTCGACTTTTCCCGAAAGCTTCAGCGAAGGGTTCTTCGGAGAAACAAAAACGTTAGCCCTACCACACTACCACACACTTGCACTACCACACACTCACACTACCATCACCACACTACCGGCCATCACCACACTCCTACCACACACACACACTACAATCACCACACTACCATCACCACACTCCAATCACCACACTCCACACATCACCTCCTCTATTAAATTCTCTCTTATTTCTTAAGCTGGGGTGGGTTTCGCCGCGGCCAGCGCGATGCACCACTCTGCGGGGATCGTGCGTGTCGGAACTCTAGGGCTTCGAAAACGTCGCAAATACCGTGGGCGCGGAACTCTGGGGCTTCGAAAACCTAGCAAATACCGTGGGCGCGGAACTCCGGGGCTTCGAAAACGTCGCAAATACCGTGGGCGCGGAACTCTGGGGCTTCGAAAACCTCACAAACACCGTGGGCGCGCAAGTCTGGAGCTTCGAAAACCTCGCAAATACCGTGGGCGCGGAACTCTGGGGCTTCGACAACGTCCAAAATCCGTGGGCGCGGAACTCATGGGGCTTCGAAAACGGAACTCTGGGGCTTCGAAAACCTCGCAAATACCGTGGGCGCGGAACTCCGGGGCTTCGAAAACCTCACAAACACCGTGGGCGCGGAACTCTGGAGCTTCGAAAACGTCGCAAATACCGTGGGCGCGGAACTCTGGGGCTTCGAAAACCTCACAAATACCGTGGGCGCGGAACTCTGGAGCTTCGAAAACGTCGCAAATACCGTGGGCGCGGAACTCTGGGGCTTCGACAACGTCCAAAATCCGTGGGCGCGGAACTCATGGGGCTTCGAAAACGTCGCAAATACCGTGGGCGCGGAACTCTGGGGCTTCGACAACGTCCAAAATCCGTGGGCGCGGAACTACTCATGGGGCTTCGAAAACGTCGCAAATACCGTGGGCGCGGAACTCTGGGGCTTCGAAAACCTCGCAAATACCGTGGGCGCGGAACTCCGGGGCTTCGAAAACCTCGCAAACACCGTGGGCGCGGAACTCTGGAGCTTCGAAAACGTCGCAAATACCCTGGGCGCGGAACTCTGGGGCTTCGAAAACCTCACAAACACCGTGGGCGCGGAAGTCTGGAGCTTCGAAAACCTCGCAAATACCGTGGGCGCGGAACTCTGGGGCTTCGACAACGTCCAAAATCCGTGGGCGCGGAACTCATGGGGCTTCGAAAACGTCGCAAATACTGTGCGCGCGGAACTCTGGGGCTTCGAAAACCTCGCAAATACCGTGGGCGCGGAACTCCGGGGCTTCGAAAACCTCACAAACACCGTGGGCGCGGAACTCTGGAGCTTCGAAAACGTCGCAAATACCGTGGGCGCGGAACTCTGGGGCTTCGAAAACCTCACAAATACCGTGGGCGCGGAACTCTGGAGCTTCGAAAACGTCGCAAATACCGTGGGCGCGGAACTCTGGGGCTTCGAAAACCTCACAAACACCGTGGGCGCGCAAGTCTGGAGCTTCGAAAACCTCGCAAATACCGTGGGCGCGGAACTCTGGGGCTTCGACAACGTCCAAAATCCGTGGGCGCGGAACTCATGGGGCTTCGAAAACGTCGCAAATACCGTGGGCGCGGGCGGAACTCTGGGGCTTCGCAAACCTCGCAAATACCGTGGGCGCGGAACTCCGGGGCTTCGAAAACCTCGCAAACACCGTGGGCGCGGAACTCTGGAGCTTCGAAAACGGCGCAGCAAATAGCGCGACGGCTCTCGTGTGGGCGCGCAATCATTGCGGACGACATCTTGTCCTGCGCTCATGCAGAGCTATGCTTTGATCTGTTCACAACATGGCAGCAGGCGCCTCAGGCCATGTGGGACTTTTGCATGCTGGCATGTGTACGTGGTATTATGCCTTCATTCATCCTATGTACGCTTCGCAAACTTCGTGGACGGAACCTCGTCCGGTGCTCAGAGCTTTTGTTGCGATCACTGTTGCATTAGACCAGTCATCACACCCACGCTGTGTCGTCGCTTTCCTTCCTGGTTCGAGGTAGATGTGAAGTTGCAGCATGCAGGCTTTAGGTAGGAAGTCGCAGGAACTTAGCAAGCGCGGGCTCGTTGAGAAGCATGGGTACGGCTGGCGGGCGCATTTTGCGCACATCCGCATTTGCGAGGAGAAGGGCACTTCGAGCAAGGAGAAGTCTATCAGAGGTCCGCTGCGTGACAGCAGAAGGAAAGCTCTTGCAGACTTGAAATCCATGCGAGAATGCGGCACGGCTGCCGAGTTGGTTGCTCGTGCGGCGAGACTGAAAGATCTGACCCTGCCTTCATGGGTGTCCAACGAAGCTTTGTCGACGCGGCACATGTCACTTTGCGGGCTGAACGTCCAGTACCCATGGAGTCGACTGTTGATGCTGGGCTGCAAAACTATGGAAGTGAGGACCTATCCCCTCGGTCAGCACCGGTGCTTTTCGGAAGGACAGCAGATGTTCTTGATCGAGACCCCAGGCAATCGCTCTGCAGAGGGCGCCATGGTACCTGTTGAGATTGGACCTCCTCCTGCACGGTCTCAGGTGATCGGCGTCATCGTCTTCGCTGGTGCGATCGAATTTTCGGATGCTCGGGATTTCGATGCTAACAGGCCGCACACACTCATCGAGGTCGGCAGTGCTTTCGACTGGTTGTCCTCGGGCGCCAAGCGGCTTTTTGGCTGGGTGGTCCTGGATGTCAAGGCCTTCAAGACGCCCCTGTCGGTGGGAGGCCGACCACGTTCCATGCTGGGCTGGACCAAGCCAGTTGAGCTCCCCTTTCAGTTTGAAGTTGCCCAGTAGTTACGTTATGTTGCAGGGTGGCTTCGTGGGAAGACGGTCTTTGTCGATCCAGGAAGCCGAAGCTTTGTCCGACCAACGTAGCAGTTCTGAGAGCGGCCCTGTCACGGCAAGTCTGGCGCTCAGGAGTCAGGAGCCCATGCGTTCGCAGGTAGTAAAGCTTGAGCAGTTTCTAGGCGTCTGCAGCTCTGTGGTTGCTTTCTTGGCTGGTCGCTTGCGAGAGTGGTCGCGTCGCTGGAGCGCATGCCTTTTTGGCTGGCAAGGTCAGCGAGTGGCAGTGCACAGTCTAGCTCGACAGAGTCGGTTGCATTTCCTTACGTCGTGTAGGGTAGTCGAGTAGCGGCATGTCCCTTCGCAGCGAATAGTAGTCTAGCTGTGCAAAGTTTTGGAAGCACGTGTTTCTCATGGCCTCGTCTTCAGCAAGCTCGTCTGCCTCTGCAGCAGACATCTTTCTGCGCAACCTCCGAGCCCGTGTGGCTGAGCTGCTGCCGGAGGCAAGGGTGGCTGTCTGCAGATGTGCCTTGGAGAACCTGCAGGCTCGGGTGGGAGCGTAAGTCTTTACCTGGCTATGCTGAATTCCAGACCGTGGTTTCCGCACATTCCAAAATCACAGATCTCGAAGTTCTTTCCTGAATGGGGTCTGTGCATCGCAAAAACGCAGACCCTAAACCTAAGCCAGGTGAAAGCAGCGTCGGCCCATGGACCCGCCTTGTCGCAAGTGTGCGCGGCGGCAGGTGTGGTGGCTTCGGGCCCTCGGGGCTATCTGACGAAGCCGGTCCTGGTCGAGAAACTGGTCGAGGAACTGTGCCCCAGTGCTAGCTCTTCGACTGCTTCTGCAGCAGATATCTTTCTGCGCGACCTCAGAGCCCGGCTGGCGGAGCTGGCGCCGGAGCAAAGGGCCCCGTTTTGTAAACGTGAAGTGGACAAGTTGCAGGCTGGGGTGGGAGACACCAGGAGCTTCGTGCATTCCAAAAAGCACAGACGTGTAAGTCTTTACCCTCATATCTGGAAGTGTTAAACGGGGTGCGGGTGTTCGTACATCGCAAAAGCCCAGACCCTAAACCCAAGCCAGGTGAAGGCAGCGTCGGCCCATGGACCCGCCTTGCTGGAGGTGTGCGCGGCCGCCGATGTGGCAACGAGGGTTAAGGGAAGCTGGCTGTCCAAGGCGGGCATGGTGCATGCCGTGGTCGACAAGCTTTGTCCACTGGTCGAGGAACCGTGCCCCAGTGCTAGCTCTTCGACTGCTTCTGCAGCAGATATCTTTCTGCGCGACCTCAGAGCCCGGCTGGCGGAGCTGGCGCCGGAGCAAAGGGCCCTGCTCTTCTTTTCCTCTTCTTTTCCTCTTCCTCTCCTCTTCCTCTCCTCTTCTTTTCCTCTTCCTCTCCTCTTCCTCTCCTCTTCCTCTCCTCTTCCTCTCCTCTTCCTCTCCTCTCCTCTTCCTCTCCTCTTCCTCTGCTCTTCCTCTGCTCTTCCTCTCCTCTTCTTCTTCCTCTTCCTCTCCTCTTCTCCTCTCTCCTCTTCCTCTCCTCTTCCTCTCCTCTTCCTCTCCTCTTCCTCTCCTCTCCTCTTCCTCTCCTCTTCCTCTCCTCTTCCTCTCCTCTTCCCTCTCCTCTTCCTCTCCTCTTCCTCTCCTCTTCCTCTCCTCTTCCTCTCCTCTTCCTCTGCTCTTCTTTTCTTCTTCCTCTCCTGGAAAGTCAACTTTTGTAGTACAAACGTAGTACGCCGCGGACGCCCGGAGCTGCCGTGGCTGGAAAGTCGACTTTTTGCAGTACAAACGTAGTACGCCGCGGACGCCCGGAGCTGCCGTGGCTGGAAAGTCGACTTTTTGTAGTACAAACGTAGTACGCCGCGGACGCCCGGAGCTGCCGTGGCTGGAAAGTCGACTTTTTGTAGTACAAACGTAGTGCGCCGCGGACGCCCGGAGCTGCCGTGGCTGGAAAGTCGACTTTTTGTAGTACAAACGTAGTACGCCGCGGACGCCCGGAGCTGCCGTGGCTGGAAAGTCGACTTTTGTAGTACAAACGTAGTACGCCGCGGATGCCCGGAGCTGCCGTGGCGCGAAAGTCGACTTTTTGTAGTGCAAACGTAGTACGCCGCAGACGCCCGGAGCTGCCGTGGCTGGAAAGTCGACTTTTGTAGTACAAACGTAGTACGCCGTGGGACTCGAACTCCGCGGTGTCGAAACCCTCGCAAATATCGTGGGACTCGAATTCCGGGATGTCGAAACCATCGCAAATATCGTGGGACTCGAATTCCGCGGTGTCGAAACCCTCGCAAATAGCATGGAAGCGGAATTCCGTACTGTCGAAACCATCGCAAATATCGTGGGACTCGAATTCCTTGGTGTCGAAACCCTCGCAAATAGCATGGAAGCGGAACTGTCGAAACCATCGCAAATATCATGGGGCTCCAACTCCGCGGTGTCGAAACCATCGCAAATATCGTGGGACTCGAATTCCGCGGTGTCGAAACCCCTTCAAAGACGTCGCAAATACCGTGGGCGCGGACCTCTGGGGCTTCAAAGACGTCGCAAATACCGTGGGCGCGGAACTCTGGGGCTTCAAAGACGTCGCAAATACCGTGGGCGCGGAACTCTGGGGCTTCAAAGACGTCGCAAATACCGTGGGCGCGGAACTCTGTTGCTTCGAAAACATCGCAAATACCGTGGGCGGTGTCGAAACCATCGCAAATATCGTGGGACTCGA